AAAAAAAAAAAAAAAAAAAAAAAAAAAAAGAGAGACAGAGCCAACCAAATTTGGTGACTGATTTAATGTTAAGGGTGTGAGAGAGGATAGGACTGAGCAGGACATGGACTATAACCTGGGTCTGCTGGGACACAACTCCATTCTAAATTAGGCAGGGTTCTCCTCTGATAGCAATCAAATGGTTGCCTCCACAACCTGGAACAAAGGACCAGAGGGAGGGGAAGGGGGGAAATATCAGAGATGGGGTCTAGAAAGTGTCGAGATCTGTGGAAGCTAAGGCTTCCTGCTGTACAGGAAAGCAAGATCAGCCTCTATGCATTTCACATGTGCTCCATTAGTATCCGGTGGGATCAGCCTGCCTGCTCCCACTCCCTGATTTTGTCCACAGTTTTTTTTTCTATCTGGTTGGTGCTTTAGAGAAAAGAGTAAGGTAGAGCCTTAAGGAGAGTTAAGTGAGAGATGAGACAGGGCTGAGAACACTTTAACAATAAGCTTTAGGAGATATTTTTAATTCTCTCTACCTTCAGAGACTTGATATTTATGGTCTTCTGGGAACAAGGGAAAAATTCTTTGGTACTTTATAGTAGAAGTGTATTTCTTGTAGGCAGCGTATACATGAGTCTTGCTTTTTTATCCAATCTGATCATCTGTGACCTCCAGTTGGGACATTTAGACCATTTACATTTAATATGATTTTTTATATGGTTAGGTTTAAGCCTATCATCTTGATGTTTGTTTTCTATTTGTCACATCTATTCTTTATTCTCGAATTTGCTTTTTTTTCTGCCTTCTTTTGGTTCGTGTATTTTTTTATTTCATTTAATCTGCTTTGTTGGCTTATAGCTGTAACTCTGTTTATTTTAGTGGTTACTTTAGGGTTTATAGCATACATCTTTAACATCACAGCCTATCTTCAAGTTATATCACTTCATGTATGGTATATGCACCTGACATAGTATACTTCTGTTTCTTCCTTCCTGTCCTTATTCTATTGTTGTCATACCTTTTACTTATACATTGTTATTATTTTTGTTTAAACTTTCAATTATCTTCTAAAGAGATTTAATTAGGAAAAAATGATATATTTGCCTATATCGTTACCTTTTCCAGTGCTCTTCATACTTTTTGTAGATCCATATTATTTCCTTCTACCTAAAGGACTTCCTTTAACATTTCTTGCAGTGTGGGGCTGCTGGTAATGAATTTTTTCAGCTTTCTTATGTCTTTGTTTCACCTTCTTTTTTTTTTTGTGGTACTTTGGCCTTTCACTGTTGTGGCCTCTCCCGTTGCAGAGCACAGGCTCCAGACGCGCAGGCTCAGCAGCCATGGCTCACGGGCCTAGCCGCTCCACGGCATGTGGGATCTTCCTGGACCGGGGCACAAACCCGTGTCCCCTGCATCGGCAGGCGGACTCTCAACCACTGCGCCACCAGGGAAGCCCTCACCTTCATTTTTGAAAGATATTTTCATTGGACATAAACTTCTAGGTTGACTGTCTTTTCCAACATGCTTTAAACACATTGCACTACTTTCTTCTCTTGCATTGTTTCTGACAAGAAATCTGCTGTCAGATGGTTCCTCTAAACGTAATATGTCCTCTGTGTGTGTGTGTGTGTGTGTGTGTGTGTGTGTGTGTGTCCTTAAGATTTTCTCTATCTCTACTTTTGAGCACTTTGATCATGATGTGTCTTGGTATAGTTTTGGTCATGTTTCTTTGCTTGGTGTTCATTGAGCTTCCTTGAGTGGATGCAGTTGAAGCAGTTTGGTGCTTTTGTGTCTTGTTTTCAATGCTTGCTGGGTGGGACCAGGGCTGGGTTTAGTCTAGGGACAATTATTTCCCGCCACTAATGCAAGACCCTCTGAGTTCTCTACCCAATGTCCCATGAACTATGAGTATGATTGGTGGGAACAGGTGCTATTCCTGACCCTGTGTATCCAAGTACTATTCCCTCTAATCCTTTCAGGTGGTTCTTTCACCAGCATTGAGTAGCTTCCTCATACTCATACACTGATCTGCCAGATTCTCAAAAGGAACATTCTCCAGATCTCTAGAGTGCTCTCTCTCTCTCTGTAGCAACGTGTTTTCTGGTCATCTATCCTGAAAACTCTAGCAGCTTTGGTCTTCCTAGATGCTCTCCCTCCTCAACTCAGAGAGTTCCCTGGGCTCTGCCTGGGTCTCCCCTCCCTGCACTTCCACCTCTATCAAGGCCAAAATCCGAAACAAACTCACCTCATTTGTTCTCCATCTCTCAGGGATCCCTGTCCTTCATTGCCTGATGTCTAGTAACTTTAAAACTATTGTTTTATATATTTTGTCCAGTGTTGTAACTATTTCAACCAGGAGGGTAAACCCTGTTACTCCCTCTTGGCCAAAAACTGAAATATATATTACACTCTAAATATTTAGTATTTATTTACCTTTTTATCCCCAAATAGAAATAACTCTTTTTTGATTAAAAGTCCTTTCAGTGACTCATTAAAGAAAGTCAGATTAACATACAAAAAAATTTAAAGTTAATAGTAATCCCATCACCCCAAAATGAGTCACTAAACTATACATTCTGTGAGTCCGAGACCACACTAACCCATAGTTAGTGCTCAGTAAATGTTTGCCAATTGAAAGACTTTTCTCTATGTTGACAATAATTGCCATTTCACCTTGCACTCTGTTTGTTTATTCAATAGATATTTACTGAGGGTTTGGTTAGTAAATGTTTAAGCATTTCTGTCGTAATAGTTTTCAATTAATTTGGGGCAAATCCATTTGTGGACATCCATTAAAAACATCAATTTCTGAACATTAATATAATTTGGATTGAAGTAGCCTCTCCTAATTAAGTGTACATTTAGGAAATTTTCTTCATATATTACTTTTATTTAGAAAGACCTTTGAATGGATTGGAAGGCTCAGGAAAGTCTCTCTACCATCCTCAGAATCAAATCTACAAAATGAGCTGTTGAGATGAGTGTCTGTTACAGAGGACTTCTTTATTACTGATCTTTCCTTCTACACTACCCGTGGCCTTTATTAATATGCCCGTTGCCATTGAGGTTTCAACTTTTGCTGCTAAATTCTGAAATGGAAAATACAGTTCTCAGGGGGAGATAGCACCACATTATTGCTGACAGTGAGTTCTGCTGTGTAGTTAACCACCTGCCGCTCTGCTGTGCAACTTAAGTTGTCTCGCAGGGGACAGGGGAGTCCTAGAGGAAACCAAGGGAAGCATTCCCCACTAGGTATTATAATGCATTTTATCATGCTTTATTCCCATTGTTCATCCCCTCACCTAACCTCCCCCCTGCCTTTGCAGGTGGTAAGTTTTTAATTTCTGTATAAGCACTAGGAACCATGGAGTCTGCACAAGATACCACACAGGTGCAGAATTTTAATCCCAGGGGTGTGGCAGAGGCTGTGACTGCTCTGCTGGGGATGTGGCTGGGCCATTGAAGCTTCCAGTGGCTGGGCAGGCCTGGGGGGCCCAGAGTACAAGGAGCCCAGAGTACAACACAGTTCTGGTTGTTGCCATTATTGAGTGTTCACAAGTGAAGGGACCAACTGATCTGTACTGGAATTTGGTTGCTGCTTGGTTCACAAATGGGCTGGAGGTCAATCTTAGGAGATTCATTTAAGTATAAGAAAGAAGAAAATATAGGGTGGGCTTATGAGTATGAGTGTGGTCAGAGCTTCGTAGCAGAGGAAACAAGGTGCTTGAGAAATGGGAATTGGTGTGAGAGGTAGAGTGAGGAAGCTGAAAAGAGGTAGGTTTAGATAGGCTAATAAAGGGTAGTGATTAAAGTATCAGAAACTCAGGTTGGTGTGCTAAGGAGCCAAAGGATGGAAAGGCCAGAGAAGTCAGGCACATAAGCTGCAAGGTTCACATTCAACAAACATTTATTGAGAACCTATTATGTATGAAATCTTTATTTCATGTCTTAGTTTATCAACAGATGACTATGAGGTTGGTATTTTTTTTTTTTTTTTTTTTTTTTGCGGCACGCGGGCCTCTTACTGTTGTGGCCTCTCCCGTTGAGGAGCACAGGCTCCGGACACGCAGGCTCAGCGGCCACAGCTCACGGGCCCAGCCGCTCCACGGCATGTGGGATCTTCCCGGACCGGGGCACGAACCCGTGTCCCCTGCATTGGCAGGCGGACTCTCAGCCACTGCGCCACCAGGGAAGCCCTGAGGTTGGTATTTTTTTAATTTTATTTTATTGAAGTATAGTTGATTTGCAATGTTGTGTTAATTTCTGCTGTACAGCAAAGTGATTCAGTTATACTTGTGTATGTATATTCTTTTTCATATTCTTTTCCATTATGGTTTATTACAGGATATCGAATATAGTTCCCTGTGCTATACAGTGGGACCTTGCTGTTTATCCATCCTATATATAATAGTTTGCATCTGCTAATCCCAAACTCTCAGTCCTTCCTTCCCCCACCTCCCCTTCGCCTTGGCAACCACAAGTCTGCCCTCTCTATCTGTGAGTCTGTTAATGTTTTGTAGATATGTTCACTTGTGTTATATTTTAGATTCCACATGTAAGTAATATCGTATGCTATTTGTCTTTCTCTTTCTGACTTACTTCACTTAGTATGATAATCTCTAGGTCCATTCATGTTGCTGAAAATGGCACTATTTCATTCTTTTTATGGCTGAGTAATACTCCATTGTATACATGTATCACATCTTCTTTATCCATTCATCTGTTGATGGACATTTAGGTTGCTTCCTAGGTTGGCTTTAGGTTGCGTTTAGGTTGGCTATTGTAGATAGTGCTGCTATGAACACAGGGGTGCATGTATCTTTTTCAAATTATAGTTTTGTCTGGGCATATGACCTGGAGTGGGATTGCTGGATCATATGGCAACTCTTTAGTTTTTTGAGGAACCTCCATGCTGTTTTCCATAGTGGCTACACCAATTTACATTCCCTGTGAGGTTGGTATTGATACCTGATCTTACTGTTAAGGAAACTAAGATCTGAGATATTAAGTGATAAAGCCAGCTGAAACCCAGATCTGTCTGATTCCAAGTCCAGATCCCAAGTATTCTTCCCACTACTCCATACCAGAGTGGGATGCACGGGGTAACAGTGCTACCATTTTAGAAACTGACTCAGAGCCTTCCCTGAATGGACAGTTGCTCTATTGCAAACCCGACAAGAGTGTTATATTTTGCCTTCTTTAAGAATAAAAGTAATATATGCACATGGTAAAAGTATCAGTACTGAAGCAGTACTGAAAGGTGTAAAATGAACCTTTTTTCTCTCTACCATCATTTTCATTATAGTTCCTTTCCAGTCCTACTCCCCAGAAGTCACAACTCCTAATGGTGTTTTCAGTGCTTTACTGTGTAGAGTATTTTTGTGATCCACAGTGACATTTAACACAGTAGATGGTCAGGAGATTCAAAACCATGTCATGTGAGGGACAACTGAAGGAACTAGAAAGGTTTACTCTACATAAGAGACTGTGGGGCAGAAGTGCTGTCTTCAGATATCAAGAGGACAGTCATGTGGGGGAGAACTAATCCTGTTCCCGTGGCTTCAGAGGTCACAGTTGGAACCCATTGCATAGACACTATGGGAGAGGCAGATTTTAGCTCTGCAAAAGAGAGAACACAGAGCCATCTCAATAAGGGTAAAAAGTACCTCCTGCAGGAAGTATTCAAACAGAGGCTACATGACCACTTAGCAAGGACCTCATAACGGTAACAGGAGGATCAGGGGGAGGTTTTCAAACTCCAAGTCATGAGAGTGGGTGTTAAAATCAATTTAGAGGAACATTTTTAAAAAAATAGAATAAAGTGAAAAATCTCAGAATACAGCACATGTAAGGTTGTAAGTATTGTTACAGAAACTTTTTTCCCCTAGGTGTGTGTTACCTGTATACCAGGTTGCAATGTAAAACGTATTTCTTACTGCAAGTCATGGTCAAAAAAAATTTGAAAGCTACTCCACTGGGTGGACACCAAGACCCCTTCAGGCACTCACTGTGTGAAAGGGGTCTGGACTGGAGTCTGCAGACCCAGGTCCTCCCTCAGCCCCATAGTGGCAAGTCATCATCCTTCTCTGAACTTTTCTTCATTCGTGCAATGATGGTCAAAGTCATTTAGAACTTTAGATAGAGTGGTCAACATCTAAAGGCCTTTCCAATTCTAGAATTGTCTATGCTAAGAACATTCATTTATTCAATAGATATTGCTTGAGCAGTGCCTTCTATGTGCCAGGCACTGTTCTAGACGTGGGGATACAGAAGTGAACAAAACAGGCCCAAAACAAGCTCCTGACCCTCATGGAGCTTACATTCTAGCAAGGATAACAAAGTAAGTAAGGGAATCATGGTGACTGTTAGACAGCATTTTGTGCCAAGTGCTTACAAAGATAAAATAAGCATAGAGGAGGGATATGAAATATTGGAGAGAGGGTTGAAATTTTAGATGGAGTGGTCAAGGAACCCTCCCCCAGAAGGTGATTTTTGAGTAAAGACCTGGTGGAAACGAGGGCATTAGCCATACGGATTCCTGGGGTCCCCAGGAGGAGGAAACAGCAAACGTAAAAGGGTGGGAACGTGCCTGGCATGTTCCTTGAACAGCAGGGAGGCCAGTGTCAATGTGGTTAGAAGAGAGTGAAAAAAAGTTGTTGAAGGTGAAGTCAGAGAGGGAGCAGGGGGCCCAGCACAGAGTTCCTTAGAGCTGCCTCCATTCCTTTGGTAGGCTGCAGATGGTGACACCTATCTTTGCCCAGTTGTGAGAATCAGGGAAGATGGGAATGTGTTCTCAGAACTATGAGATCCTCTAGAAATATGATGTTATTACCACTTTGTGGATGAAGGTAAATGGAGCAAGTCAGTGAGCATGAGAGAATGCCAGCTTTTCCCCTAAGGCACACCCAGCCCACCCTTTGGAGGGTGCGGACCTCTCCATAGTGGTTGTGCTGTTAAAAGTCTAAGAGTTTCTTTGCTTTTGATTTAGAAATTCCATCACCCAAAGTTAAGTAGTCTTCATCGGGAGAACTTCATCTGGAATCTGAAAAATGTTCCTCTTTTGGAGAAATACCTGTATGCCTTGGGCCAGAATCGGAATCGAGAGATTGTCGAACAGGTTGTTCAGCTATTCAAGGATGAAGTAATGACCAAATTAAGTCATTTTCGAGAATGTGAGTATCCCCCCATTCAAATCAGAATTTTTCTTGATTTTTAAATTGTCAAATTTCAAACCATCAGCAAAGTATGGAGGTACAACTTAGCTTTATCAAATCTTAAAACTTTGTCAGATTTGCTCCTGTTGCTTTTAAAGAATAATACTTTCACTTCCCTTAAAATTGCTACATTTGAAGCCCCCTCTAATCCCTTAAAATTGCTACATTTGAAGCCCCCTCTAAACTTTACATGATTCTACCTCTCCCCTCCCTACTAAATTTGCATACATGTTTTAATATTACTATATATGTATATATTCATAAATTACCTACAGTAGTATTTTGCATGCTTTCAAACTTTAGATAAATGGCATCACACTGTATATTATCATTCTGCAACCTGCTTTTTTATTCAACATTGTTTTTCAGATTGATCCATTTAATATGTGTAGTTCTAGTTCATCTAGTTGGTTAGCTTTAACTGCTGAATAATATTCCATAGTGTGTGTGTGTGTGTGTGTGTGTGTGTGTCTGTGTGTGTGTGTGTGTTCCATAATTTATTTTAATGTAATTTTTTTGGGTCTATTCTCTTGTTAATGGAATTTTAGTTGGTTCCTTTTTTTTTTTCTGTATAAATGATGCTGCAATGAGCAATCTAGGGCATATCTCCTTATGCACATGCACAACAATTTCTTTAGGGTGTAACAAACCTTCTGACCCAGAATGATGTACTGGTCAAAGGGCAAGGCACTGAGGGGGCATTTCTAGTAAAGCCAAGGATAGGCTTTGAACATCCTTTTTGTCCTCTGCTTTCTGTAATAGTCAGCTCAGGCTGCCATTAAAAAAACACAAATGACTGGGTGGCTTAAACAACAGAAATGTGTTTCTCATAGCTCTGGAGACTAGATGTCTGAGATCAGGGTGCCAGCACGGTCAGGTTCTAGTAAGGACTCTCTTCTCTCTGTGTCCTCCTCACATGGTGGAGAGAGCCAGCAAGCTCTCCAGTATCTCTTCTCATGAAGACACTAATCCCATCATGAAGGCCCCACACTCAGGATCTCCCCTAAACCTAATTATTTCCCAAAGGCCTCATCTCCAAATACCATTGCACTGAGGGTTAGGGCTTCAACATAGATTTGCAGGGAACTCGAGGCGGGGGGGCGGGGTGAGCGGGCACAGTTCAGTCCAATAGCACTTACTTTGTGTAAACACAATGTGGTTAAAAAAAAAAAAAAAGGAGTTGATTTTTTTTCCCCTCAAACCTGTTTCCCCCTCCCAGCCATCTTCATTCCATTAAAATAGTATCCACCATTCGCTTAATCTGACCAAAAACCTACAAGTCATCAGCTTGACTTTGTTCTTTCTCCCACACTTCACATCCAGTCAAATTCTATCAGTTCTAACTTCAAAGAATACCCTACTTCTAACCCTGTTCCCCCCATTTACTACCACCACTTGGTCCAAAATACCATCATTTCTCAAATGGATTATTGCTGTAGCCTCCTAACTGGTCTCCCTGTCCCCTCTCCCTGCAGTGTATATTCACTTGTGTCTTCCCTTTTTTATTTTTTCTTAATATTACTTCCGGAAGATTATCCATGTTGTTGCATGTGGCTATAGCTTATTTTTAAATTTTATTACTGTAGAGCATGTGATTCATAAATATACCACACGTTAGCTATTCTACTTTTCAAAGATATTTGAGTTCTTTCTAGTTTGGGTCTGTTAAGAACAGTGCTCTGTGAATATTCTTGTGTCTCTTGCTATACATGTTCATGAGTTCCTTGAGTATATGACTTCATGAGCTCAGGGGTAGGCTTGCTGAGTCATAGTTCATGTCCATTTTCAACTTCAGAGATAATGCCAAACAAGGCGGCATTATTAATGCCAAGGTGGTTGTATGACTTTGTACCACTTCTAGCAGAGAATAAAATTTATATTCCTCTACAACCTTGGTACTATCAGACTTTAATTTTTGCCAGTCTGATGTGTGTGTAATGGTGCTTGTTGTGGTTTTAATATACATTTCCCAATTATTGGCCATTTGGATATATTCTTTTGTGAAGTGCCTATTCAAGTCTTTTGCCTGTTTTTCTATTGGGATTTTTTTCTCATTGATTTTAGAAGTTCAAAATATTTTCTGGTGGGCTTCCCTGGTGGCGCAGTGGTTGAGAGTCCGCCTGCCGATGCAGGGGACGCAGGTTCGTGCCCTGGTCCGGGAAGATCCCACATACCGCGGAGCGGCTGGGCCCATGAGCCATGGCTGCTGAGCCTGCACGTCCGGAGCCTGTGCTCCGCAATGGGAGAGGCCACAACAGTGAGAGGCCCGCATACCGCAAAAAAAAAAAATATTTTCTGGATACAAGCCCCTGGTTGGTTATATGTGTTACAAATATTTTGTTCCATTCTGTGGCTTGTCTTTTCACTCTCTTCATGATATGTTTTGATGAATAATCCTTAATTTATTGGTTTCAAATATATCAGTCTTTTACCTCATGGTCAGTGTTTTCTGAAAAAAATTTTCCCTACCTGTGGTCATGAGATATTACCCTATATTATCTTCCTAAAGTTTTAGTTTTTTGCCTTCCTTAATAGGCCTATAATCCATCTGGAATTTATTTTTATATATGGTGTGACTTTTTCTTATGGCTGATAAACTGTCTCACCATTTATTGAAAAGCCATGTTTTTCCTTTTGTTTTCCAGTACTACCTCTGTTGTAAATCAAATATGTCTTTGGACTGTATTTTACTCTATTGGTCTATTTGTCAGTCTCTGCACCCATACCACACTGTGTATCAGCTAGGCTAGGTCATGCTGCAGTAACAAATAACCCCCAAATTCTTGTGGACTATAATAATAAAGGTTTAGTTCCAACTCAAGCTGCAGGTCTATCATGGATTGACTAGGGCTCTGTGTTTTCTCACTTTGGGATTTAGACTGATGGAACTTTCATCAACTGGAATGTTGCTATGGGGAAAGAAAATGTAGTAAATTGTACGCTGGATCTTAAAGCTTCTGCCCTGAAGTGTTGTCATTTCTGTTCATATGTAAGTGACCAAAAAAAGCCGCACGGCCGCATACAACTTTTGGGGAAGCAGGGAATTGCAACCCAGCATGTTCCTAGAAGGAAGATAGCTGGAATATTTTTGAGCATACCTAAAGATTACCATAGTATCTTAATTTCTTTAACTTTTTAAGTCTTCATATCTGGTAGAACATGTCCTCCCACCTTCTTGTTCTTCTATAAGAGGGTCTTGAGTATTTTTGGTCCTTTACATTACCACATCAATTTTGGAATCAGCGTGTCATGTTTAAAGACAAATTTTGTTGAGATTTTGGCTAGATTTTGGCTAGAATTGAATCTATGTACACATTTGGAGAAAATGGGTATATATATTTATATTATAAGATCGAGTAAGATAATCCATGAACATTGGTCTACCTCTCCATTGATATAGATCAATAAAAGATATATATGATGAAATTTTTGATTGTCCTTTTACTGTTGACTTCTACTGTAATTGCATTATGGTCAGAGAACATATTTTGTATCAGTGCTGTCAAGTAGAATTTTCTTCAATGTTGGAAATGTTCTGTATTTGTGATGTCTAACACACTAGCTTTTGTGTGGCTACTGAGCACTTGAATGACTAGTGCAACTAAGGAACTGGATTTTTTATTTTATTTAATCTTAATGAATTTAAATGGTAACTTGTGGCAAGTGGCTACTATGTGGGACAGAGCAGCTCTATATGATTTTAGTACTCTGAAATTTGTTAAGATTTACTTTATAATGAAGCATTTGGTAATTTTTAAAAAATGGTCCCTGTGTGCTAAAAAGAATGTATTCAGTAGGTGCTGGGTACAGAGTTATATATATGTCCAGTAGGTCAAATTTGTTAATCATGTTGTTTAAGTTTTCTATACTATTGAGTTATCTTTTTGTCTGCTTGTTCTAATAATTATTAAGAAAAGTATATATAAAATATCCCAGTCTGATTGTGGATTGTCTATTTTTATTTCTGTCAAATTTTGCTTTATATATTTCAAGGCAACATGCATATAAAATTTGAATTGTTGTCTTACTAGGAAATTGTATCTTTTATCAATATAAAGTATCCTTCTTTATCTCTGCCATTGTTTTCTGCCTTAATGTCTACTCCATCTGACATTATATAGCTATCCCATCATATTTTTGTTCTCTTGATTTTTTCTCTTTTCCATTTTTTCTTTTCCTTTTTGCCCTTCTTTTGAGTGAATTGTTTTTGTGCTAATTATTTTTGTCTTTTTTTTTTCTCTCTGTCCAGCAGTTTGAAAATTATATACTCTCTATTCTTTGAATGATTACCTTAGGAATTCTAACATGTGACTTTAACTTATGAAAGTCTGATATTATTCAAGACAATACAAGGACCTTAAAATACTTTCATTCCATTTATCTCTCTCCTGACTCATATGCTACTGTTTTAGTAAACTTTAATTCTATATTTTCACCACATAAGACATTATTATTTTTGTTTTAGAGTCTGGTTTATTTAGATTTACTTATATATTCCCTTTTTATCTTCCAGCACCCCAAACCTTCTGTCTGGAGTTATTTTATTCCTGCCTGAAATACAACCTTCTGAATTTCCTTTAATGCAGTTCTCTAATGGTGAACTCTCTCTGATTTTGTCTGAAAATGTTTTTTATTTTGTCTTCGTTCCTGAAGGAGATTTTCACAGCCTACAGAATTTTAGATTTCATGGGTTTAGAATTTTAGAATACCACTCTCTTCTAGCTTCCATTGCTGCTGAGAGGCCAGCTGTCAGTCTGTTGCTTTTGTCTTTTTCTCCTTTGGGATGCTTTTCAGATGTTTTCTTAAAATAATTTTTTTTTCTTGATCTACTCAGGTTTCTCAAATCTGTGTGGACATGGTCTTTCACCATTTATGGAAAATTCTTGCCTCTGCACCTTTCTCTCTTTCTTCTCCTTTTGAGACTCCAATTAAGCTCATGTTAGACCTTCTCACTGAATCCTCTGTGTATATTACCTTCTCGCACGCACCCGCACACGTGTGTGTGTGTGTGTGTGTGTGTGTGTGTGTTAATCTTTTTCTCTGCCCGTGCTGCATTTTCGACAATTTTCTAGTTTACCAATTCTCTCTTTAGCTACGTCTAATCTCTTAAACCCAACCATTGTGTTTTTAATTTTTTCATTCCATTTTTCAGTTTTAGAAGTTCTTCTTGATTATTTTTCTAGAGTAACTGCCTTGTGGCCAGAGAACATACTCTACATCAGCACACAGGGAAATAAGTTTCCATAAGCAAGAACAAGAAACTGACTAGACACTGAACCAAAGACTTCAGTAACTAGAATGATCAGGGACAGAATATAGTCACACAGCAGCCTGGTTTGGCATTTGGTTTCAAGGCTATATTTTTGTCCTTCTGCCTCCTTGGACCTGCAGTAGTCTAAACAGTGGGTTGTAGCAGATTTTGTCATCCTTTTAAGAGCTGGGAAGCCCTCATCACTGCCTCCAGCTTCATGTGGTGAGTCTGTTTCCCAACCAGCAGGTAGCATTTTAAGTTCCTTCTCCCAAAGGGGGAAAGCACACTGCTGATCTGGAGCACAATAGACAAGCCTGTGGCTTTATTCCTGCTCACTGCACTGCTTGTGCTTGGCATTTCTATTCTGTTTTTAGTGTATAAATCTATCTTGGTTTTGAGGCTGGCTGTATATTTATTGTTTTCTCTTTTTACTTTTATCATTGCTATGTATATTGGAGTTATCAAAGCATGAATTCACTGTGCCATCTGGATCAGAACTCTTTCTTTTCTTTCGTTAATTCTCAAATTCAACAACTTTTGTCATTTTATTCCAAGCATTGAGTAGCTGTATCATTTCTTAATAGGCCATTGGACATGTGAAGAGAAGCAACAAAATAAGAGAGGTTCTTGCATATACAGATTGCATTAGTGAAGTAACATTTCATTGATTCTAAAACGCCATTTGACTGTACAAGATATCCAATTACTTTATGAACCTCTAGGAAGAAAAAATATTGCCAGTGAAACTGTGACATGGCATCAATTGTATGATGAACCCCAAAAGCAGAAGCATGTAGTTTACAGTAATATTCATTGCTTTTACAGGCCACCAACTGTGCCATATCACTTAACATGAATTACATAATACTAACTCATATAGAAGAAATCAGCATTATATTTAGAAGCTAATATTGTGGACTTTATATCATGTACTTATTATAAAGTACATGACTCACTGCTTCAGTAGGCATGGACATCCCCATCTCCTCCTAATCCTCACTCAGAGTTTTATTTATTTATTTATTAAATAAATTTATTTATTTTTGGCTGCGTTGGGTATTCATTGCTGCACACGGGCTTTCTCTAGTTGCAGCGAGCAGGGGCTACTCATCGTTGCAGTGGGTTGTCTTCTCATTGCGGTGGCTTCTCTTGTGGAGCATGAGCTCTAGGCGTGCAGGCTTCAGTAGTTGTGGCTCACGAGCTCTAGAGCACAGGCTCAGTAGTTGTGGCACACAGATTTAGTTGCTACGTGGCATGTGGGATCTTCCTGGACCAGGGCTCAAACCTGTGTCCCCTGCATTGGCAGGCAGATTCTTAACCACTGCACCACCAGGGAAGTCCCCTCACTCAGTGGTTTAAATCAGTGCTTCTCAAACTATCCATGGTAAAAGTTTGGGGTTTTCTCCCAACCCACTGCAGCCTGATACATGGCCCTACTATTCAAGATTAGTTCACGGCTCACACCACATATGACTTACCATGCACATCTGACAACACCCAAACTGGCCTATACTGTTAATGAGATAAGGCCCCTGTCATACTCTTTGATGAAAAATCACTATGAAATTATCTAAACAGTCTCAATTTCCGTTTTTATTTGATGCAGACTAATAACAGTTTGTGGGCCAGCACTAGCCACAGGCCCCCCACTTTGAGTGGTACTGTCTTAAAATAACACCACCTATCCCAGTAATCAAAAGACTGGGGACATTTGGAATTACCTTGTCATCAGAAATTTCTTTTAGAAATCCTAGGTTAAAATAAAGGCACATCTGGTTCATTCTAGGACTCTTTGCTTCTTATAATAATATGAATACGCACACACACGTAGGTGTGTGTGTGTGTGTGTGTGTGTGTACAGCTGTTTTCCCTTTACTTGGCTCATAGCCCAAATAAGGTGTTCACAATGACTACAGTCTCCATCTTCTGGCCTTGTATTGATGAGAAGCAAAAGCAAAAACAACCACCAAAATTAACTGCTTTTATCCTTTTCAGAGGAAATTATTTTATTTCAAGAAAAAGAGGGATTAGCTCTTTATCTCTGACTGCTTATCAAATTATCTGAATGTCCATACCTGAGGAAGAGAAATGGAAAGAGAATGAACTAGGGTATTGAACAAGTGTTTTTACTTGGCTTGATTTTTCTCCTTTCAGGTATCAATCATGGAGATCTTAACGACCATAACATTTTAATAGAGTCCAGCAAGTCAACCTTTGGAGATGCTGTATATCAAGTGTCTGGGATTTTAGATTTTGATGACATGAGCTATGGCTACTATGTGTTTGAAGTGGCAATCACCATCATGTACATGATGATTGAAAGTAAGACTCCTATACAAGTAGGAGGTCATGTCCTTGCAGGGTTTGAAAGTGTAGTCCCACTGACACCTGTGGAGAGGGATGCTTTGTTTCTACTTGTTTGCAGTCGTTTTTGTCAGTCACTTGTCTTAGCTGCATACTCTTGCCAGCTATACCCAGAGAACAAAGAGTATCTCATGATTACTGCAAAAACTGGGTGGAAGCACTTACAGCAAATGTTTGACATGGGCCAGAAAGCTGTAGAAGAAATCTGGTTTGAAACTGCCAAGTCCTATGAATCTGAGATCTCCATGTGACCAGATAAAAATGCACACTAACTTGGGTAATTAAAAACCAATAGGACGAAATCTAATTCCATAAAGGGTTTCCCTGCATAGTTAAAGATGAATTGATGAAACATTGCAATGCACATGAAACCACTAAGGTCTTCTAGCAATTTCATGACCATTTTTTAAACCTAAGAAAGTACTACATGAACAAGCATGTCTTTCTGTGGGTCTCACTTGCCTTGTGTATCAAACATGTAGAGTGATATTCTGAATCAGATAATCTCTCAAGGTCTGTTGCAGCCCTGAGATCAATGATTTTTTTAAACTTTGAAAGGAATATATATGTATAGACATATTCACATATTTTAAATAAGTGGATGTAACACACAGACCTAGTTAACATATCACCAATTCTATGAAGCCTTCTCCCATCTCTTTGTTGTCCAGAATCCCATTGTACCCTGTCTTCTGTATGGCACATCACTTGGTATCATGGATGATGGCTGTGTAGTCATCTAGCCTAAGAGCTATTTGAGGTCAGAAACCATGTAAAACTTTTTTTGTCTTTCATCCCTTTTTACACCTGGTATAGTGCCTTTCCCATGGTCTTTAAAAATATTTACAAAATTAATGTATAAGGCTGGAGAAAATAAGGCACACATACTGCCTTAGGAGGAAACACAGATGGTATTCATAAGAGAAAGCTTTAACTTGTTTGAGAGAGCAGTTGAAACTAACTCCAGAGATAGATGCCAGAACTCACTGGAACTGCAAGGAAGCAAATAACACACCCAGGCAAGGCCGCTAACTCCTGAAGTACCGAAATAACTTTCATATCGATACTAAGAAAGACCCTAAGTGGATATTTTAAAATTCTCTACAATTTATGTTTCTTCTCATATGAATAGGTAATATTGAAGAACATAGCTCACATGTACTTGACTCTAATTATACCACTATATTTCCTTCACTGATTTCTCTTCATGTCCCCCTTAGTATGATATAGTAAATAGCTGTTTACTTCTTGTCATTTTAACCCTCCATTCTCTAGAGATGACTCAAGTCTAGAACCCTGGCCAAACACCTTCTCAGTAGTTATCTCTTTCGATATACATGAGAACACATTGATTCTATATCTCTCCATCTAATGACCTACCTATAGAGCTACCTATACTCCCCAAACTAGGTCTCTCTCTGAATTTTCTTGTTTCACTCTTGTATCATTCTCACATTCACCTTTAACTTCTCTGCACCTTAATTTCCTCATCTGTAAAGGTGAAGCTGTACCTATCTTATAGTGCCTGTAGTACCTCACAGAGTTAGTTGTGAGGACTTCTTAGAAATTAATTGCAAAGCTCTTAGCACAGGGCTTGGCACATAGAAAAGACTTAAATACTAAATGAATGAACCAGGTTAGCCAAACTCAAAATATTGGAGAAGTTTTCTTTTTGCCTCTCTCATATTCCATCAGTGATCTGATTCTTAGGAATCAGAATTTTAGATCAGTAAATGATGATCAAATCCCTGTCCTTCCTGCCTTACTGTTTAACAATAAATAATAAAAACAAATATTTATTGAGTACTAAGTATTTAAAAGAAAACTCTCTCTACTCTCACAACACTTCTGATGCTAAACATGTGGAGTTTTCCTTCGCATTAAGCAATCCTGACACCAACTGTTTGGAGCTAGAGCAGACCCCTAGGTTAAGGGCTCAGTCCCACAAAACTGCCTCCACTTCAGATGCCAGCCTCAAGTCCTAGGTTGTACTTCTGACCAACTGGCTGTAAGTTGGGGGTTCCCATGACTCCCTCCTCAGGTTCTATAATTTGCTAGTACAGCCCAAAGAACTCGGGGAAATGCTTACTTCTGTTTATTAGTTTATTTTAAGGGTATAATAATAAATGAACAGACAGAGGAAGAAATACATAAGGTGAGATCCAGAAGGATCCTGAGCACAGAAGCTTCTGTCTCTGTGGAGCTGGGGGTGCACCATGCTCCCAGCATGTAGATCTGCTCACCAAGCCAGAAGCTCTTGAACCTCTTTGGTTAGGGCTTTTATGCTGGCTTCGGTTGATCAGATCATTGACCACTGGTTGATCAAATCATCTCCGCTCCCCAGAAGGTGGGGGGTGAGGCTGAAAGTTCCAGCCCTCTAGTCACTTGGTTGGTTCCTCTAATAATCAGCCCCCATCCTCCAAGACTCACTTCATTAGCATAAATTCAGGTGTAGCTGAAAGGGGCTTCTTATGAATAAAAAAGAAGCTCCTCTCTCCCCTACCACTCAGGAAATGACAAGAGTTTTAGAAGCTTTGTGCCAGAACCGGGGACAGAGACCAAACATATATTTCATATTATATCACAGGACTTTACATGCATTATCTCATTTAATCTCCACAAAAAAAACCGTGAGAGAAGTATTGTTATGATTTTTTAATAGATCTTTATTGGAGTATAATTGCTTCACAATACTGTGTTAGTTTCTGTTGTACACCAAAGTAAATCAGCCATATGCATACATGTGTCCCCATATCCCCTCCCTCTTGAGCCTCCCTCCCACCCTCCCTACCCCACCCCTCTAGGTCATCGCAAAGCGCCAAGCTGATCTCCCTGTGCTATGCTGCTGTTTCTCACTAGCTAACTAGTTTACATTCAGTAGTGTATATATGGGACTTAAGTAAACTTAAAGGCTTTTGCACAGCAAAGGAAACCATAAACAAGCCAAAAAGACACCCCTCAGAATGGGAGAAAATATTTGCGAATGAAACAACAGACAAAGGATTAATCTCCAAAATATACAAACAGCTCACGGAGCTCAATATAAAAAAAAAAAAAAAATCCAATTAAAAAATGGGCGGAAGGCCTAAATAGACATTTCACCAAGGAAGACATACAGATGTGTTGCAGTCCGGGAGCCACACGCCTGGAGTCGAGTTCCCCAGTAAATGCGACCCGTGTCCCAACCAAGGACACCCGAGAATCACCAACACCAAGTAGAAAGATTAGCAAAGGATTTATACAAGTACCAGTACAGAAGCTTACACAAACTGTCCGGACAGGGTCCCACTCGGAGAGAAATGAGTGAGACCCCGACTAACAGTCGGGCGAGGCCTTTATACCCTTCACAGGATGGGAAGTTCCCAAGGCGGGAGGGAGCTGTTTAATTTTGAATCAGCCCATCAGGAACCCGGTTCTTCCTGCCCCAAGCAAGCAAGCAAAGCAACTTTCTTACAGAAGCCAAAATGTGCTGTTAGCCCTGAAGCTGTCCTTCCGTTTCTTTCGCCACAGACGGCCAAGAGGCACATGAGAAGATGCTCGACATCACTAATTATTAGAGAAATGCAAATAAAAACTACAATGAGGTATCACCTCACGCCAGTCAGAATGACCATCATCAAAAAATCTAGAAACAATAAATGCTGGAAAGGGTGTGGTGAAAAGGGATCCCTCCTGCACTGTTGGTGGGAATGTAAATAGTACTGTTGTGATCAATCCCCATTTTCAGATGAGGAAATAGATGCTTTAAAAGTTGAAGCAATTTGCTCCAAGAGCCTGTGACCCATACCACTTTCTCCTCTCCTCTTTTCTCCCCTCCCCTCCTCTCTATGGGCTCACACACACACCTGCGTTAGGAGGATCAAATGAGATCATTCACAGGAAAGCACTTATGCTTCTCAACTTTAAGGGGTTGTGATTTTTATCTGCCTTGACCATTCAGGAAACTGGGGACTAGAAAAATGAACTAAAACTTGCATTTCACTCCCAGGCCAATGTTCATTTTCTTATACCATGAAACTCTACAGAGTTCCTGCTTGCTTGCTCCTTCTGCTAACATGGATTCTCTTCCAATGAATTGTCTTAATGCAAATATTGCTGACCAACTCTTCAGATATTTAAATACGGGCTGCCTTGCATTGCTAGTTTACTATTTGGTGTTTGCCCTAGCTTATCTCCAATCAATCTGGTCAGTGTAGTTTATAAACTCTTTGGTGGCATACACTGAATAATATTTATTTCATTATCTTCAGAACCTAGCTTGGTGCCAGGCCCCTAGCACAGCCTTAATAGAGAACCGTCTGATGAACTGTTAGAATGAACGCACGTCTACAAGTGCTGGTTTTTGGTTCTTTCCACCAATGAGGAGGAAAACCAGTTCTAGATTTGGGAATCAATACCATACCTCCAGCAAAGACTCTACTCTTGCAAGTATCTTTTTCTGTCTGGGCTTTTATCCCCTCTAGACTGCAACAGAACTTTACTTTCTGGTGTTATTATCCTTAATCTCTCCACCTTACAACCTTCATATTAGGGCCAGATAAAAACTCTCATTACAATATATTGCTGTGTGACAATCTAACCAAAAACTTAGTAGACTGAAAGCTCAATTTTTTATATCTTATGGATTCTTCAGGTCGCGAATTCAGACAGGCCCTGGGACAGCTTGTCTCTGCTCCACAATGCCTGGGGCCTCAGCTGGGAAGACCTCAGTGCTGGGGGAGATTCAATGATGGGGGACTAAAATCATCTAGAGGAATCCTCACTCACAAATCTGGCCAGTCATGCTGGAACCTCATCCGGGCTGTTGGTGGAATCTCTCTCCATTTGGTCTCTGCTCGCTCATGGCATGGTGCTAGGGTTCCAAGAAACACCTTCCCAAGAGAACGAGACAGAAATTTATTTTTTACGACCTGCGTTTGGAAGTCATATGATGTTACTTCCGTTGCAGTCACAGGCCCACCCAGATTCAGGGGACAGAGACACAAAACCTCTCAATGGGAAGCATCCATGCCACATTGTAGGAGGAACATGTGGGATGGGAGATCATGAGGCTTCATCATCCTAAAACATCACTTTAATCCTCTTTTCCCACTACCTACAGGGAAAAAATTCTGGCATTGAAGGCATTCTACAGTTTGGCCTAAAAATACCTTTCCTCCCTTCCTCCCTTTATTGACGTCTCTTCACTCTGGCCAGACTGAGCTACTCTGTCACCCAAACTTGTTAAACTCATTTTTACTTCTGCTCTTTTCTCTCAACTGATCCCTCTTCTTTTGACCTGATAAATTCTACCTCTCATTTAAAACTCTTAATGCTTAATTCATCAGAATGAACTAAGGTGGCAGGGATCCTCAGAGAGATTACATAAGTTACACTGCCACCTAAGGATGCTTTCAGAACACCACCTGTCTGGCTGTGGCCCTTGCCATTTTGCCTTGGCTCACCTCCCTATGTGCCTGGGAAGCAGAAATGAAAGGAGAGACCTCAAACCACAACTCATTCCCAGGTTACCTCCTTTTCAAAGCCCAGATCCCTCAATAATAATTTTTTGCCCAACAAGAAGAGCACAAAGTCCCTACCCTGTGGACCTCTTCTTCGAGGAGACTATGAGCAAATGACTACACATTAATTCAGACCTAGTCAAGCGTCTAGCTCGGAGAAACTTAAAACATGAATAGTAGATAGTTTACATAGAGACTGAAGCCAGATGAAAAAAAGAGTGGAAAGGAGAGATGGATAATGAACACATAAATAAACATGACAATTTCTGTATAGAAGATAACGTGTGTGTACGGTGATGGTAGGGTATTGCTTTAACTAGGTTGGTCAGGGGAATCCTTTCTAACGAGGTGAAAGACAAGAGGAGGAGACTAAGGTGAAAGTTCTCCCAAAGGTGTAAACCCCATCCTAATATGCTTTATATGCCCCCAAATGCATGTATCAGCAATAAAAGTGGAAGACAGATTCAAGAAGGGAGATGATGAGAAAAGGCAGAGTGAACGGTAACGTCTGACGTGCTTGGGTCCGTTTTGAGAACAAGGCAGGAAAGGTAAGCAATTAACAGGCGGTCCCGCACCAGTGCTCTCCAGGGCCAATGACTTAGTGCTGAATAGAAAGCGAAAGTGAAAATAAAGCGCAAACAGTGGAAAAGGGACATTAGCTATAATTCCACTTCCTCCTTGGCCAGGGTCTTCCTGCCCCGCTCCCCGTGTTCTACTGCCCCCTCATCGGGCTGAGGGTCCCTAGCAGTGCCTCCGAACCTCAACTCCGCAGCTCCCACGAGACGACTGGCGCTCGCTCCGCCCCCCAGAAGGAGTTCCGCGTCCTCGGCTGCCCCGCCCCCGCCGGTGGCTCTGCGCATGTGCGGGGGCCATATTAGCTGAGGATACTCAGGCAGCGGTGGTGCGATTTCTCTCGCGGAGAAAGAGCTCCGTGTAGGCTCTTCAGCGTCTCCCCTCGGTGAGCCTTTGCCCCCTGCGCACTCGCGGAAGCTTGGCCGCTCTCTCCGCGGGCGGGGATCCTGAGCGTCGCGGCAGAGCTGGTCCCGGCCTGCAGCGGCCGCCGAGGAACCGTGGACACGATGACTCTGCACCGGCTCCTTGGTGATGGACCGGCCGCGGGACTGGCTCCGGACGGCCGCCGTCGGGCTTCTCTGCACTGAGCAGGCACCACGGGGCTGGGGACGCTCGAGCGGCGGGGCGGGCGCGGGGCCGGTGAGCAGGACACAGTTGTAGGGCTGCCTCCGTCACCGTAAGAGTCCGTAGTGAAAGTGAACCTGCGGGAGGGGAGGTGCAGGTGAACTCGCCTCGGGCCTCGGTCCTGCGTCTGGCGTGGAGATGAGAAAGTTGTGTTCTCTCGCGAATCAGAAGCCCCGGCGGTCTCCTCTCTGTGGTCTCCTGGCTCTCTGCTCAGGGCCAGCCTTACCTTTCACCTGCGTGTTGCAGCAACCTCATAACTGGTTACCCTGCCCCAGTCTTCACCAGCCAGAGCGATCTTTCTAAAATGCCGGCCAGCTCCTGTGGCTCTTTGGCCCAGCATCATTCTTTGGAGCCCCATTGCTTAAGAGATAGCATTCATAGTTTTTACCTGGGCACGCTGGCCTTCGGGACCTGATCCCTGCTTTTATCTTTCCATTTTTAATTACCGATATTCTAGAATTTGGGAAAATTGGCTCTGGAGGCCGAAGTTTGGCTTTTCCACCAAATCACGCTGAGCCCCAGTGTTGTCTTTTGCAGTAATAGTAATGATGCCAAAGATTACCATCCCGCTCCTCCCCTTCATAGTTCAGGACCCCGTATCATTCTCTGGAGAAAGCCTAAGCCTCTTAGCTTGGCATTCAAAGCTGTACATGGTCTGGGTACTTGCTTAGTTCTTTAGTTTTTTCATATTTTTTTTTAACTTCAGCAATTTCTCTCGCCCATTAAGCTATCCTGCCTCAGTGCCTTTTGCTCAAGCTTTCTCCTCTCCCTGGAATGCCTTTCCCTTCTTTCTTCCCCTGTTCTTCCTCTTAGACCTAAATGTTCTCAGCCTTATTTCTGCCTCTCCCATCTCTAATTTGGGCTCATTTTCTGTATGTGTTTCGCAAAAAATACTTTCTTGATTTTCTCCAACCCTCTTCCCACTTAGTGCCTCTGTTTCCATATTGCTTTATAATTGTCCTTCTGTGTCTTCTCCCTCACCTGGCCACCAGACTGTACGCTCTTTAGGAAAGGGATTGCTCTTACCCATGCTGGCATTCCAGCATTTGGCATAGTGCCTGGTGCACCGTAAATGTTGGCTGAATGAAGAGAAGTGAAGAAGACTTTTTTTTTTCAAGTCAAGAAATGCTTTTTAAATTGTAAGTTTCGTTTTAATAATTATCCTATTTTGTTTTTACAGGAATTATCATAAAGTTCAGAAAACATGGTGAGTTAATACACATTCCAGTAAGCCATTGCCTGATAAATTGTATTGCTTGTACTCAGCTTACAGACTTGCATGAGAAAATTGAAATGGAATGATGTCTTACCAGTTTCCTCCCACTCTCTGAATTTTGTATACCAGGATGTGTTCTGTAAAATGATTTGTGGGTTTACAGGAGCTGGCTTACTAAAAGTGGGTAGGAATCACTTGTATGTTTTTCCTTTGCAGTCTCGAAGATATGACTCCAGGACCACTATATTTTCTCCAGAAGGTAAAATATAAATTGTTTGATCTGTCTCAAATAAAAATAAAAATTTTAAGTGTTTGAATTTTAGGGGTGGGTGGGGAATCTACAAACTTTTTAAAATACTAAGTTGTTCATCCTTTCTGTAGTTTGAAGTGATTATCACCAGGTTGATTATGTACATCATAGGACTATGAGTAAAAGTGGGACTCCTGTCTGTAGCCCTCCAGTGTTGTTGCTGATTTCTCTTGAACCAGTGGTGCAAGAACAAGGAAGAGAGTCTTGGTTTCTCACTGCTTTTGTCTTGTAGGTCGCTTGTACCAAGTTGAATATGCCATGGAAGCTATAGGACACGCAGGCACCTGTTTGGGAATTTTAGCAAATGATGGTGTTCTGCTTGCAGCAGAGAGACGTAACATCCACAAGCTTCTTGATGAAGTCTTTTTTTCTGAAAAAATTTATAAACTGAATGAGTAAGTGAAATCTTAGGGCAAACATCTCATCATATTTTGGGAGGGCTGTTCCATGTGACATGATAGAATTGAACAGTTGTTCTGTTTTTACTTCTGAAATTTTTTCCTTTTAACTTATTTCCTTGAAACTTCCTTGAGGCCCAGGACCATATGTTATTCTTTTTAAGTGCAGGGTCAAGTACTTAGTGGAGAAACAGCGTTGTATAGTGATAAGAGTACAAGCTTGGTAGTCACACAGCTTTGGGTTAAATCTGGGCTCCACCAATGCAAAGAATATGAAAGTAACTGGGACTTTTATAGTCACCAAAGAATATGAAAGAATATGAAAGCTGTGACTTCACACCCATTGTTTAACTTCTCTGGGCTTCAGAGCCTACTAGAGTGGTTGTGGCAATTTAATGAAATAAAATAAAATGAATGAGATAAACTAGCACAGTGTTTGGCATATAGGAGGCCCTCAAGGTATTGTTTATAATGGTTACTCAGGAATTATTTTGAATTATACTGAATCTTACTGAAGAACAGGCCTCCTGAAGGTCTGGGAAAAGTTTAGACTTTTCTGTACACTTAGTGAAGTTTCTGTTACAGTTGGGTGTTCAGGGCTTTGCAGCTAGCAGAGAGCTGGATTTGCTCATTGGAGACTTTCCCTTCAGTGTTGAGCCAGGTGAATTCTGGTTATAGGGCCTTTTGATACACTCACTCAAGAAAGTGTCATCCCTCCACAGTCACTGTTGGGCCCCTCAGCAGCTTGCAGGCTTGATTAGGCACAGTGCCAGAGGGTGTCGAGGCTGTAGGAGAGCCGGGGCAGCTTTCAGGGAACGGGGGGGTAGAGAAAGGAAATGCACCCTCCCTGTAAGCCTAGCCCTGAGCTTCCTAGGCAGGCTCATAAAATATCCTGCCCTTCAGGTCCCCTCACCCTCACCCCCATCAAGTTAGGCCTTAGGAGGTGAGAGTACTTCACTACCCAAGAGCGTGGGGTAGTCTGTCTTCCTGTCTGGCAAAACCTTTTTCTTCTTTGTGGTTGAATCTTCTTGGGATTTACCCTAGCTTCCTAGTGTTTATTCTCTTGCCCTGTTCACAGGGTGATGATGGTAAATACATCTGTTGTGAAGAACTTAAGTGTGCATTTGTTTATCTTATGTGTTGAATGACATCAAGTTGAAAGTTTCCTACAAAGATAAAACACACATAGGTTTTGTCTGAAGGGTGTAGCAGCTGAGAGGAAGCATGGTGAATTTCTAATAGAGCTTAGTACTTTCTAAAAGTTGTAAAATACACCTGGTAAACATCTTTTCTGCTTACAGATAAATGTCTTTCTTTTTCTCAAGGGATATGGCCTGTAGTGTGGCAGGCATAACTTCTGATGCTAATGTTCTGACTAATGAACTGAGGCTCATTGCTCAAAGGTATGGTCATAAATACTATAATTGATGATATGTAAAATTAGTTTCGATGTTTCTAAGAACTCATTTTTGTAAAGATTAAAGTCATTAAAAACCTATTAATTGCAAATTACAGTGTTTTTTTCTTTAACCAAACTTGCAAAATATTAGTTACTGTATGATTATTAAGATGTTGCCATGCCCTCTACTCTCCCCCTTTAGATTATTTATAAGTGACTATTATGTTGACCCCATGACAGAGATTTCTTTTCAGAGGGTATTTTGCTTAGAGTGTGTATATAGAGTGTTTTAGAGAAAACTATTCATATGCCAGTTTCTTTATTCTAGGTATTTATTGCAGTATCAGGAGCCAATTCCTTGTGAGCAGTTGGTCACAGCACTGTGTGATATCAAACAAGCTTATACGCAGTTTGGAGGTACTGAAACTTTTGGAAATTTTATTCCCAAAAGATAAAACGTTTTGTGAGTAATAACCTCTTTGAGATGGTAAAATGAAATTGAAAATGAAATAAGTAGACACTTTTCATACATTCTCACTTCATGAGCTAACTGGCTTCCACTATGTAGACTGTCAAACATTTTATTAATAGACTATTGGAAGGCCAAAATAACATTTTCAAATCAGGAAACAAATTGCTTTTTACATAATGATGAAATTTAGCACTGGTCCTCTTTGTCTTTATTCCCTCTCCTGGCTGCATCCAAATCCTAGAAACAAAAGTGGAATTTTTGATGGAGCTTATCTATGGTGGCCAGAACATGGAACAGTTTATGAATGCTTAACTTCACAGAAGAGGGGTTAGCCACTGAGCTCAAGTAACCATAGTGATACTAAATTTAGATTGTTGGTATGTTTAGCTTTTTTTTTTCTCTGTTAAAGGAAAACGTCCCTTTGGTGTTTCATTGCTTTACATTGGCTGGGATAAGCACTATGGCTTTCAGCTCTATCAGAGTGACCCTAGCGGAAATTATGGAGGATGGAAAGCTACATGCATTGGAAATAATAGCGCTGTGAGTATTTTTGTGTTGCTGTAGAATGTAGCAAAGGGTCTAGTAACTGCCATAGTTTTAAAGTAGTGATGAGTGTAAACAACATTTTAAGGTAGCTGCAACAGCCTTAATGTGATATGAAAGTATCTGTGATTTCTGTTGGTGATGAAGTCACAGGTACTCCTAATACTACTAGGGTTTATTGCCTACAGTAATAATGAAAGGAAGTGCTAATTTTCAGTTAGAAGCTGTGAAAATAAGATCTAGTTCCCCCGTCTCCCACATACTAGTTCACAGACCCCCTGAACTCTATCATGGATACCTGGGATTCATTCATAGATCATCAGCATCCCTCCTTTGCACCCCTATCCCATGTCAGCCCTCCCTGCCGTTAAAATTGTTTATGTTGGTTATAATGCCAATAATAATTCAGGCATTATTCATGTTCCTAAAAATCGCAAAAATTTAAAGGAAATTCTCTATGTTGATTCTTTCTTATGTTTTATAGGCAGCTGTGTCAATGTTAAAACAAGATTACAAAGAAGGAGAAATGAGTTTGAAGTCAGCTCTTGCTTTAGCTATCAAAGTCCTAAATAAGACCATGGATGTTAGTAAGCTCTCTGCTGAAAAAGGTAATTTATGTCCACTCCTCTAATTTGTTTGCTTAGTGAGGGAATTGATTGAGTAGGCCTTTAACATGTTATCATAGTGCACTGAAACAGCAGCCTTATAAGTTAGGTGACCTTACAGCTATTTCCTAAGACTTGACCAAGGTCAACACTGAAAAGTTCTGGAGCCACCATCCCACACTACATAACAAGCTTAAGGACTTGAGCCTGAATGTTCTCAATATTCATAGTTAAATCTGATCCATGCTATTTTATCTTATCGACTTCTTGACAATGATATCTGTGCTCGTGTGTACATATAATAAAGAATATGAAAGTAATTATATGGTTATATATGTTTGGTGTCCTTTATCAGGTATATCATTTGCATGAGTTGTACCCTCTGTTCTTCTTAATCTACTGATCTCTTATGTTAAGCCCATGTTTGCAATTGTAAATGCTTTATTTAACTAAAGTTATATGACCATATAAAACAATATTTGTAAATAATGTTTTTCAAAAATTGTGGTAAATTAACGTATTGATTTAGTTTAGGATAACTTAGCTCCTGGTGTTGCTTCAAAAAATGCCATTTACTTGCAGACTGTCCTCTTGTCTACTTCTACCCAATTTCAAGGAGGCACTACTCAATTTCCCTTCCCAAAATTTCTCCTCCTGTTGGCATTAGTCTGCTTTTCTCATCCATAGTCATGGGAGCTGCTTTTCATGCCTTTGTTTTGAAAAGAGATTTGAAAAGTTCATGAAAAATAAGTGTAAGTACTGGTTAAAGATTTTGGCTGAGCCTTCAGAGGTTCTAACGAGGAAACTGGTTCTTTCTGGTCAGGCCAGCCAGAGCAATTGGCTGGTTGTACTTTTTCCACAAAAGTAACAGCTCAGAAAGTTAGTATGGATGAGGATAAAGATGATATTAAAGTAAAAATATTCATAAAAACATTATAATATTGAAGGTATTTTGTTTCCATGAAAGTATCCATGAATTATATTCAGCAGAAAACTTGGAAAAGTGGTGTACTAAGGCTCAAATGGTATGAAGAGATTAAACTGTGGTTGCTTATTAAGTGTTTTGGCTAAGTATGGCTGCCTGTATTACAAGTGTGTGTGTTTGCTTCCAGTGGAAATCGCCACACTAACAAGAGAGAATGGAAAGACAGTCATCAGAGTTCTCAAACAAAAGGAAGTGGAACAGTTGATCAAAAAACACGAGGAAGAAGAAGCGAAAGCTGAGCGTGAGAAGAAAGAAAAAGAACAGAAAGAAAAGGATAAATAGAAGACAAAATCAGCGATTTTTATAACTCATTTGGGGCACCATTTCGGTGTAAAAGCTGTCCTATTCTTCCACATTGAGAAAGCTTTGACTTTTTTTTTTAACTTGTCTAGTGGGAAAATAGGATGGTACCAACTGAATTGGGTCCTTATTATTGCTGTCCAGGTGAATATTGTAATGATGATTACTCTTTATGGACATCTTAATCACCCTCCCCCTCTTTTTTTTGAATAAAACTTGGAAAGAATGGAAATGGTGAAGGAAAACATTCTCTAGCAATAACTGTTAAAGATACCAGGATTAATAGGGCTGTGGTCTTTTCACGCTTTATGTATACTGTGGCTACTCTTGCAGTTACTTTTTTTTTGGCTGTGTTGCGTCTTCATTGCTGCGTGCGGGCTTTCTCTCGTTGGCACCGAGTGGGGGCTGCTCTTCATTGTGGTGCATGAACTTCTCATTGCGGCTTCTCATTGCGGTGGCTTCTCTTGTTGCAGAGCATGGGCCCTAGGCCACAGGCTTCAGTAGTTGTGGCACGTGGGCTCAGTAGTTGTGGCTCGCGGGCTCTAGAGCACAGGCTCAGTAGTTGTGGCACACAGACTTAGCTGCTCCGCAGCATGTGGGATCTTCTCGGACCAGGGATTGAACCCGTGTACCCTGCATTGGCAGGCAGATTCTTAACCACTGCGCCACCAGGGAAGTCCCAGTTACTTTGAAATAAGATGTTAAAATGGACAGAAATGTAAACATAAAAAAAGAAAGTTGGGAACTGTGCAGTGAAGTTTTTCTATTTGTTGTTCCCCTACCATCTTGGAGAACCTGTAGCCCAATTTGAGCAAAACAGAGAGCTGCCTTTCTCCTAGGCCTCATCTGATATTACCCTATCAGCAGCCTATCTAGTGAAATAAGAGTCGTTCGCCAACCTTTGATATTGATGGATGTTCATACTGGACTTAAAAATTGTGTGTGTGTGTGCGCGCACATACATACGTGCAAACATGGTAAAACGCGAAAGGTAGAATTAAAATGAAAGCCCTGTGTATCCACTACCCAGCTTCAGAAATAAACTAATCAGTACTTTTGAAGCCCCCTGTGTGTCCCTTTCAGGTCTCATTCTTCTCTGTTTCTCTCTACCCCCGAGAGGTGACCACTGCCTTGAGCTCATCATTCCTGTAAGCTACGGGTTTTCCACTCTGGTTTTCTGTCCCTCTACTCCAGGTGGTCCTGGTAGGTCTGTCAATCAGATAATCCCACTCCTTTCACAAAGGTGAGCACATCACTCAGTCTGGCCAGATTACCATGTCTGTCTCCAGGGATGGGTTTGAGAATGAACATGTGGGCTGAGCCAAGCCAGACTTGATGTGTGGATATGAGGAAAGAATACTGAGGGTCCTGCATTAGGACCAGCTCTCCCAGTCGGCAGCCCAAGCCATGTGGAAGGTTATGCAAGAGAAACTAAGGCTACAGAGGAAAAAGAAGCAAAAGATGAGAATAGTTCAGTTTGGCCAAAGGGAGCTCCACCGCTGAGCCTTGCTTAGGATGCTGTCACTTAGAATAGAATCCTCTGATGGAAGTGCTGTAGGGCAGTGCTACTTAAAAGTGTGGTCTGTGGAGCGTCACCTGGGTGTTTGCTAGAAATGCAAATTCTAGCGTCCCATCCCAGGCCTGAATGAAAACCTTGGCATAGAGCCCAGCAATCTGTTTTACCAAGCTCTGCATGTGTTTCTAATTCATGCTGAAGTTTGAGAAGTGCTTTGCTGCATATTGGAATCACCTGAAAAGCTTTTAAATTTCTTTGTACCCAGGCTATACCCCATACCAATTAAAGCAACCTCTGCAGTGGACCCTGGCATTACCATTGCTCGAAATCTCCCCGGGTGATCTAATGGACAGCAGGGATGAGAACCAGTGCGTTGAGCCATAGCAGTGTTGTCAATCAGATATGGGGTCCCAGCCTAATCCCTAATTAAGTGCTCTTAAGGAATAGCAGTGTCTTGGAGTTTTCTGCCCGTGGTGGTGTTCAAGCTATTTCCAAGCCCCTTTGACATAGTGCTTTTTGAATCTTCTAAATTTCTCTTTATATGGTTGATTCTTGTTTGTGGTAGCCATGTTCTGTAAAGTCAGCATGAATGCTGAATTAGCAAATTCTGAGCCATTGCTCCTAGTAAAATAACAGGTTAGGTTCCTTTGAGCCTCTGGTTACAACACTTTCATCAACAGATCAATACATAACCTTGTTTTATGTGTGTTTCTGTTTAGAGACATTTAATGTACGTTGGTACTTCATTAATATTGAACTCATGGCCAACAGCACTTTAACTCATACCTAAATGAAGCTTATCTAATGCATATATTTTCTATGTAAGGCACATCACAGCTGCCTTGTGTTTAGGAACACTAGCAAGCACTATACTGAAGGGACATTTTAGAAAGTGAAATCACCAACAAAAAGCACAAAAATTCAAAAAGCATAGCACAAAAGTGACCAAAAGAACACTTGTTTACAGTATGAGCTGAAGCAAGAAGGCAGAGTGGCCCCTTGTTTGACTTGAGCTGGGAAAATGGGCATCAGGCAACAAATATTTCCATGGCTCTGTGCGTGTCCACAGTGACCAGGAGAGCACTGTGAGTATTGGTTTTGGGGTTAAAGGCAAACTTGCAAATGCAGAATCTGTACGTAATGAGGGTTGACTGTAAAATGTTGTAAAATGGCTCTGGCCATTTTAAAATTCAGTCTGGCTATGCACAGAAGTAGAGGTCGATGGAGAAGTGAACTGATAAATCCTGTTGGCTTTATCTCCAGAATGTATTTAGGATCCAACCATTTACCACTGCAGGTACGCTGATCCATGCCACCATTCTCTCTCACTTGGACTATTGCTGCAGCCTCCATCTGCTTCCTTCCCTTCAGCCAATTCTCAACACAGCAGCCTTTCAAAATGTAAGATTGTGCTACTGGTTTGCTCGAAATTCTACCTTCTTGCTCAGTAAAAGCCAGATTCTTTACACTGGTTTACAAGGTGCCCCATACTCTGGCCCCTCTGCTACCTTCTCTTCCACCTTGTGCTCCCTTCCCTCTGTGTTCATTAGATGAGCCCCCTTGTTCCTTGAAACAACAAGCCCTCTTCCATCCCAGGGTCTTTGCACTTGCCATTCCCTCTGACCTGGGAATACTCTTCCCCTGGGAACATCAGTATGGCCCACTCATCTCGTGCAGGTCTCTCTTTCAATGTCACCTTATTTGGCTACTTACTGCAGAAGAGCAGTCTATTCCCCACACACTCACATTCTCCTTCTCCCTGCTGAGCTTCCTCCATAGCACTCAACACCATCTGGCCTGTTTACTGTCTGTCTACCCCACTGGAATATAAGCTTCCAGATCAAGGACTTTGTTTTATTCAACAGCTATGTTCCAGTACCGAGAACAGAAACTGGTACCTATTAGGCAACAAATAAATATTGATGAAGGAGTGAATAGTGGCTCTTGATATGGTGGAGTGAAATCCTAAAATACACCTCTTTTCCATCCAGGTCAGTACAACTGGTGGGTTTTCCATATTCTGATCACCCCTTCAACACGTGCTTAAAGTTGTGACAACTTCAAAGACTGTAGTGGGTAAGACAGCATATTTTACCACCACATTAGAAGCAAGTCTTCAGAACTTCACCCAAAAGATGGGCAAATTTTGACATATTCACCCTTTTGTTGAAATAATTTCATACTGTGAGGGAAAAGTAGAAGGTGGGGTTGCAGCAGGGGCTATTCTATAACTGGGTTTTTTCCTGCTCTCGGGCTGACTGCTAGCCTAGATTCTCACCCAGCTTCTTTTTCCTCTGTTCTGTGGTGTATTTTTAGTCCTAGATTTCAGAGCCCTCTGGTTCCTGATGACTCATCCCAAATATAAGCTTAGCAATCCTCACCTGAACAGGGGCACTCCTCCACCTACAGCAGGCATTTCATCCTCTCACCTGGGCAAAACTTGTGCGTTCTCACAGGGGCACTACGGGTACAAGAGCACCTTAACAGAAACGAATAGGAAACCAAAAAGCTAAAAGTTTCAAATCTTGAGTCAAACTTTAAAATCAAAATCTTAAGCTGATTTCATTTTGGTGAGTCACAAATCACGTTTTAAAAAATAAATCGTGGAAAAAAATCATGTTCCTGCATATAATTTTATTGCTGGTGTTTTTCTCAATCAGAAAACATGACTCTGGAATTTCTACAGTCCAGCACTTTGAAAGTTCCATGAAAGTATTTGTTTTAGCAGTGCAAAAATATTCTACATTCTGGAAACAAATCAGAAAGTGGATTCATTTCTTTATTTCTTTATATTTACCATGTTCCTGGTAATTTTGGGTAATGTGGATTCATGGATGAGTAAGACGTGTCCTCAGTTCTTTTTTTTTTAATTGAAGTACAATTGATTTATAATGATTCAGGTGTACAGCAAAGTGATTCAGTTACACACATACATATATTCTATTTCAGATTCTTTTCCATTATAGGTTATTACAAGGCATTGAATATAATTCCCTGTGCTATACACTAGGTCCTTGATGTTTATCAATTTTATATATAGTAGTGTGTATATGTTCATCTCAAATACCCAATTTACCCCTCCCCTCATCCTCAGTTCTTAAAGTGCAGTCTTGCAGGAAAGGCAGGGCTGTCATCAACTACTTAACAATGTGGAGGATGTGCTAGACTCCAGGTGGCTGTACACTGAGGTTAGGGAGGAAAGGCAGAAGGAACTGCTCGTGTAAAGGCCTGGCAGTGGGAAAGCTTCACATTTTTATGGGAAATCAGTCGCCGAGCAGAGCTAGAGCATAGCTCGTTAGGGGAAGAAGAGGGACAAGAGATGAGGTTGGACACGTATGCTAAGGAGAGAAGACAGCCTCACAGATCTTGGAGTTTGTGCTCAATACAATGCAGAGGCTGCTGGGATTCTTAGTAAATGAGAGAAACAATTAACACTAGAACTCTTGGAGTCCAGAAGAAGGATTAAGTAGGAAGAGACATAAGGCAGGAAAACCAGATAGGAGGCTACGTAAATAGTCAGGCAAGGAAGGATGAGGGTCTAAGAACAGAGAGCAGGGAGGCTCCCACACAGTGAGGGGTGAGAGAGAGGGAGTAGAGGATGACTAGGGTCTCTAACTCAGATAAGTTGTTACAATCTAATTTAAAAAGACATTAAGTGAATATGATGAACTACTCTTAAAATTTCCTAACGTCTTTTTTCTTATTGCTGTTTTGGC